GTGTGTGAAGGAGTCTGAGCTTTCAGGTTACTGGTAGTTTGGACAGTTGAGTCTCTTTAAACCTGAATATTTGCTGGAAAAGTGACTGAGGTAGTCAGGAGATGTGCAGGTAGCTAGAGAAATGAGGCAAATACAGGCTAGATCATGGACCCTACTTCTTTGAAGCTATGTGCCATGGTTGTGCAGTTTCCAAAACCAGACAAGGATCCCTCTGGTTTTGTGAATCAGCTGGCATGGTATGCTGTTATGATCCTACTAAGAGATGCATGTATAATTGATGACATGTTTAAGGGGTAGATTTGGTGAGACAGAGCCAGCTGTGACTCTCGCAGTTCAAGATGAGGATGCACAGAGTAGACCTGACTGGATAAAGGTTTATAAAGCTCCATTAATGTGTTGTGCCCTTAGACTGAGAATAGTGGAGGGACAAGAAGCAGCACATGTCTCACGTCCACTTATCTGTATTTGAGTTGAGCTTTACATTTTTAGACTAACAAACCTACATTTCTTGTTCTCAGTGAACGCACCTAGTTTCAGGACCATGCTTGTGGTGACGATCTTTTTCCCTTCCTACCCGTTCTAAATTGACTGCACTGTTCCACAGCTCCCTAGTTGAGTATCTGAAAGCACCAGTCAGGGAGAAGGAAGCCACTGAGGGACAGTGTTCGGGTAGATGAGCTATAGTCTTTAATTTAGAGAAAAGCACATTGTAACTTTTCAACCAGGAAGTACAGTTTACCAAGTTGTTTCCTGTCCCACCAGAAAAGCCGATGTGACGCTGGGACCCAGAAGTTGTCGTGTTCACCTGTGAAGAAGACAAGGACCCTGCTGTACCAGACCCTCATCGACAATGACTCCTCTGCACCATGAGTTGTTGATCTCTTCAGAAACGTCAGGTATCCACCTCAGTCCACTTCATTAAATCTTTGCCTTTGTACTTATGATTGAGTGACGTTTTTTTTTTTTAAACTCTGATGCCCAACCTTAGGACACTCAAGCTGGAGAAAACCTGCTGACGCAAACAGGACCATGAGGAGGCTGCTACCGACGTCCACACCAACCTCTTTGGTCCTGAGAACTGAGCCTGACTTGATGAGATCTTGAAGGGACTGTTTCAGCTGAAGCTCAGTTGGCCTTACCTGAGGCCACCACCTCCTCCTTGGAGGAGATTACTGCAGCTACTGAGCTCTAACCTTTCCTCTGGAGTAGTGTGTTCCTTGACACTATTTGAAGACTTTGTTTGAATTTTGGAACTTTACTACAGAGTTGTACAAAATTGGGTCATTTTTCCATCATTAAATGGTGGAAGAACTGGGACAGGCTTAGTGGTTAGACTGATTCTCCATACACATGAAGTTGTGCTGTGACATGTTGTAAGTCTGTCTTGATAAGTGTAGTTGTGCTGTTTTCTAAATCATCACTGCCCAGATTTTAATAACTATTTTACTTTAAATGTCTGAGTTGTCTCACTCTGCCAAGTTTCAAGGGGAGAATCGTGCTTCAGCTAGGCCGGGGGAGGGAAAGTTTTGCATTTACTAGATTTTGCGGACATGGGAGGCCTCCCAGCAGGGGAATGTATCCTACCCCTGTAAAGTATTGTCGCTGATTGTAGGGATAAGTTTAGCAGTTTCATACGTAGATGGGATTGTTGTCAGACCTCGTTTGCGCGGTAGCAGCGATACCAACTGAGCGTGGGTTCTTGGGAGGGAGCAAGCCTGACAGAGACAGACAACTCAGATGATCAAATAAGCTCGGAGACACTCACTTTGAGTGTATTTGCATTCTTTTCCATGATGAGAATGACTGGAGTGATGACTGAAAACTATCCACTCACCCTAACCGGTCGAGGCAGAAGGCCGCCCACCTTGAGTCGGGGTCTGTCGGAGGTTTCTTCCTATAAAGATTTCTTCCACTAAAGGGAGTTTTTCCTCTCCACTGTCGCCAAGTGCTTGCTCAAGGGGGATTTGTTGGGGTTTTCTCTGTACTGATGATGATGATGATTATGATAAGATCTAGACCTTACTGTGTAGTGTGCTGAGATGACTTGTGATTTGTTACTATACAAATGAATTGAATTGTACAGTCAAGTGTACAGGTTGACACCATGTAGAATTATTTTTCCCAGCCACGACTGTCGCCTGTGCAGAGGCATAGAAATGTAAACTACTGTTAAAGAAGCATCATGTATTTCTTAAGCACACTTTGTGTGAAATCTTATTTCATAAAAATTGTAACTGAAATAAATGTATAGTGAAAACTACATGAAACTGAAGCATGTGTCTGCAGACTGTTATTGATGGACGGGGTCGACACTGAGGTCAGTGTTTCAGGTTCTAGAGTCAAACATTGTTCAGGGTTCTTCTCTTCAGCACTAAGTACAGCGCACATTGTTTTGCTTTTTAAGCTTGTGTCTTTTTCTGATAAATGACCAAACTCACTTCAAAAATCCAGCTGGTTGATTTTGCTTTTATAAGAACAAACATCACATTCAGTATACTGTATAATTCAAGCTGCACTAACTTGAACGTAACATCTTCTGGTTGAGTTGTAGCAGTATTTCATTAAGTTTGGTTTACTGCAATAAACATCTATAAGTTTAGGCTGCTGCTCGCTGTCATTCTGCTTCTTTGGCCACGTGTAGCATTGACCAGTATACAAAGTCCCTAAACTCTTAAAAAAAAAAAAAAATTCTGGTTGTGTATGTCTGTTAGAAACAAACATGCATCATGAAACTAATCATTTCTTAAGTGTTCACTTCGCCTGGTCATTTTGCCTTAAATAGAAAAACCTGGTTACTAAATATAATCTTTAACATTAGGCTCCTGCTGCTTGGTCTGTTTAAGATTGATTTTCAGCCACAATGTGTATGCTTGTATTTCCATATAGACATCACAGAATGATATGTTACTGGTACCTTAATGTTTTTAAAAAGCCATGGAGCTACCAGTGTGCAGAGCTTCTAATGGTACCCCCAGGAGTCATCAATCTTAATAACATGACTCTTAGCGCTTTAAAGTGACCATAAAATTCATAGTTTTTTCAGTCTCCATGCATTACAGCTGATGTTATTACAAGTTACAGTTTTTAAACCAAAAACAATGCAAAAAGCTAAAGGAAACAAGGGCGGCGTTGGGCGAAAGGTGGGATACACCCCGGACAGGTCGCCGGTCGCAGGACCAACACGCAGACAAACAACCACTCACACATTCACTCCTACGGGCAATTTAGAGACACCAATCAACCTAAGCTGCATGTCTTTGGACAGTGGGTGGAGGCCGGAGTACCTGGAGAGAACCCACGCAAGCACGGGGAGAACATGCAAACTCTGCACAAAAAGGTCGTGAACCTGGAACCTTCTCGCTGTGAGGCAACGGCGCTACCCCCTAATAGTAATAATTAATAAGGTCTAGACCTTACTTTGTAAAGTGTCCTGAGATTACTTTTGTTATGATTTGGTGTTATAAAAATTAAACTGAACTGATCGCCTACTTGTTGAAGTTATCTTCAAGCAAAAATGCCAAAAAGTCTGTGGTTCTCGTTTATGTGAGAATTTTCTGCTTTTCTCATCTTACATTATGTTAAATTCAATATAATAAGGTTTTGGTCCAAATACGTGAAGATGTCGCCTTGGGCGCTAGATTACTGTGATAAGCATTTAAAAAACTTTTTATGGTGTTTAACAGGCCAAATGATTAACAAGTCGTCTGCAGCTCTGTCCATGATTTCATGAGTGCAAACATAAAATCTGGGTGAAAGTCACTTTAAGCTAATCTTTTTTTTTTTCCTTCTAACAAATGTGTATTGCTCTGTGTTAAAAAGAACTAAATACCACCAGTGTCCTACCTTCAATAGCGGGGCTGTACTGCGACATTACGTTGCTGGCCAGCGTTGGCAACGAAACAGCCACAAACACCATCAGCAGACAGGCGATCTTGTACTCCTCCTCTGGACTGATGTTCTCTACACAGACACATCCAGTGTAAATAGAGGAAGGTTTTGTGGAAGCTGAATTCAG